TTCAGGTGGGTTTTTTTTTTAAAAAAAAAATCGATTTCTGAAAAATAACTTACCTGATGGGCTGAGTTTGTGAGCATAATCTGGAAAGAATTCGACTTTCAGGTGGGTTCTTCATATATAAACTCGAAATCTAGGCTTTTTCTGGTGAGTTTGTTCATAATGTTCTTCAAATCTTTGTCTGGTTCATTAAGGTTTGTTCATCGTGTTCTTGAGAGCTTCTTCAGATTCAAGTTTGTGTGTGTTTGTGTTAGATCAGAAATTGCAACCCCTGTTTTCAGAAATTAAAAATCATTACATTGATTTTGTGTTTTGCTAGATCTGTCATGGATGGACTTGTTTTACAAATCTGTATATGTATTAGATAAACACGAATCCAGAATTTCATGTGTGTGATTTCAGGAAAAAAAATGGGTTTTTACTTGTCGCCGGAAAAATAATGTTTCGCCGGAGAAGATGAACAGTGCATCGCCGGAGTTGTTAAAGACGCCGGAAACCGGCTATACCTCTGATAGTTGGTCATAAGGATGCTTTTTGAACAGTTCAACAAGTTCAATGGGAAAATGTGGACAAAAAAAACTCAATGACTAAATTTGTACAAATCCAGAAATAAGTTACCCTTTTAAGTCATTATCCCTAATTTTTATCTAAAAGTTCATGTTTTTTTTAGGACAAACGAAGGTTAGATGGTTAAACAAGAAAATATGATTAAATATAATGTTTTATTTTATTTTATTTTTTTTTAATTTGTTTTTTGTTATTTGAATGTGATTTGATTCTTTTTAGGTGGCATGGATGACAAACTTTGAACGCCACACCGAGACGCCATACAAAGAAAATGAAAAGGAACAACATTCTCTCTCTCTCTCCCTCCTAAACATAACCCCTTGAGGCCTTGATGATGGCACCAATGGTAAAATCCTTGTTGGACCATTACAACATTACCACCACTTCGTTTACCCTTAGGCTGGTGGGTATGGTGCAACACTTGTCACGGTCCACGTAGGCGTCACGTCACACTTGCCACACTTTAGCCAAAATTTGTCATTTGCTAGGCGTAGGTTGACACACTTGTCATGTTACCTTTTTTTTAATATACAAAATAAATATTTCAAACATAGCATTTTTTAGAAAACTAAAAATTCATTAAACTTAAAATAAAAAACATAGAAATTCAAAAATACAACAAACACACCAAAAAAAAAATAGAATTTAAAATAAAAAACATAGAAACTAAAATTACCAAACCTAGATAGACCTAAATGACATCTTCATCGGAAAATTGATCTTCCAAATCGTCGACCGGTTCCGCATTAAGATCGACGTGGTCGACGTTCCAAATATGTTCCGTCAAGTCCCTACGAAGAACATGATGCGTCTCAACATCATGAACTATTGTCCTCCTCGACATGTACTCCGCGCTTCCAACCTCAAAAGCTTGCGTCGGTGGAACGATTTCGTTTTCGTTATACTCACATATTGCATTTCCTTCGTATTCGAGAATCATATTATGCAATATAATACAAGTATACATCACCTCGCTCATTTTCTTCTCCTCTATATAAGACACATGATATTTAAGAATATGCCAACGTTTTTTCAAAGCTCCAAATGCTCGTTTAACATCCTTTCTCGCCTTCTCTTGAGCTCTCTTAAACTTCAACCTTTTGCGATCATTTGGACAAGACAATGACTTCACAGAACAAGTACGCTCCGGATAGATCCCATCCACAAGATAATACCCGTTCCTATACGATGTTCCAGCTACTTTGAAAGGATGAGTCGGGTGCAGTCCCGTTATACATGTCGTCAAGTAATGGAGACATGTTAAGAACATTAATGTCATTGAGGGAGCCAACTGAGCCAAAGAATGCATGCCATATCCACATATCTTGTGAGGCCACCGCTTCAAGTATAACGGTTGGATAACTATGATCGCCTCGGGTGTATTGCCCTTTATGGGCATTGAAACAACAACCCCATGCCCAGTGGAGGCAATCTAGGCTTCCTAACATTCGAGGAAAGCCGTGCACATTTGAGTGATGGGTATACAATTGTTGGATGTCACTACAAGTAGGTTTGCACAGATATAGTGGACCATATAATCTCATGATATATTTGCAAAATTTGTGAATGCTAGTTCGTGCAGTACGTCCGGACATCCTAAGGTTCTCCTCTAGTGCATCAGGGCAAGTGTCATACACTAATTGACGAAGTGCAACAATGCATTTTTGTATAGGAGTAAAACCAACTGTACCTCTTGCATCTTGACATTGTTGAAAAAATAGACATGTTGCCGTGACGTCGTTGACTATACGTAAAAATAGAGATTTATGCATACGAAACTGGCGACGAAAATAATATCCTATAAAGTTGGCGTCATCCACAAAGTAATCTTGCATGAGTCGTTCATTAGCCACCTCATGAAATCTGTGTATGTATCTTCTCTTCCTCCGGCGTGCATTCTCTGTATTTTCTTGTTGTAGTTGCTCGATCATCTGTTATGCCTCCTGACAACCTCTATGGTCGTTTCAAGCAAGACATCAAACATGCCCGATGAAAATGACGAAGACGACATTTTGAGAGAGTGTATATGAGTTGTAAATTGATTTTGATGAGTTAAAATAGATAAGGGTTGTAGTATTTATAGGAGATTAAAAAAAAGTAAATGGAAGTAGCTGTTGCAGCCACCCCATTGGTCCACTCAACATAGTCAAACTTGGCATTTACTCACCGAGATACCGAGCCGAGCTCGGCAAGCCGAGGGGTCGGCCCGGTGTGCGCCGAAGTCGCCGAGCCCATACCATCCGGCCTTAGCACGGACATAACCAATAGCATATCTTCATCTACGTGTAATTGGGTAACAGCTGCTAACCAAAGGCCAATGACATTTTTAGGTACTTCATCTTTCAATTTCTCCATAAATGTTGAAAGGTAGTTTAAATTTGAGCTTTTTTACAAGATATGATGGTACAAATGAAAGTGCTTGCGATAGGTATCTTTTTTCCTGACCAATAAGGAAATGCCACGTTAAAAATCTCTTTTGAAAGTTTGCCATTACTTCATACTAAAATTTTCTGATTCCGTTTCTGATTGGTTTTATGGTGTATATCATTAATTCAGTATATATATATCATGCATGACTTGAATGGAATCATTTACTGATTTGCTAATGTTCTTGTTTTCCATCATGAAAGTTAATTCGTTGTCTATGTCCATGATATGAAAGGCATGGAATCTCCATGTGTTTCCACTTTCCATTCTAATAGAACGTGGGAACTCCCATTTCAGTTGGAACACACATGAATTGGTCCAAGGATACCATGCTTATCTAGAATTTTTATTTATTTATGAAATAATACAAATGATCATAACTGTTGATGATTATTTGTTTCTGTGATCTGAATTGATATAATTGATATGATTGTATGAAACTGATTTATTTGACTTTAAATGTTTTAAATTAATATAAATAGAAGTATTTTATTAAAATATTAAAACCTTTTAATACTTGTACCAAAACACTTCTTTATGTATAGTTCATCGACAACAAATATTGCGTTTGTGTGGGTCAGTAATGATTGTATTCGTTGATTATCGGGAGACTATAGGGGACAAAATATCGTTATACATGTTTTAATGTAGTTGAATGGAGAATTTTTACTACTTGACGTGAAATAAAGATAAAAAGTGATTTAAAATGAAAACGAGGATTGAAATGACACTGGGATAACTTATCACTTTTTTAAAAGGATATAACAGATATAAGCAATGTATTAAAATAAGGGTTTTTAGTTGATCCGGAATAAACACCAGGTCACAGTCTAACCAATTCAACGGTCGAGTCAAATTTTGATAGTTCTATTTACTTGTTCACAATTAGTTTGAAACTTTAATTCTGAACTTAAATGTTAGTTAAGAAGAAAATGGATTTTTAAAACTCCTACTAATTCCTAATTCACTGCTTTCATTACATGATCTTGAAATCCCAAGCTTCATAAGTAATCTATTTTTAGTGGTGTAAATCTGGATTAATTTCAGTCTTTGTAATTGTAATTTTAGTTCAATCATGTAAACCAAATTCAAGAAGAAGTATTACTGGTCAAAATCTTTCATAAATAATTAAAGATCGGATATGTTTTATCAAAAAAAGGCAACATTGTAATTACTATTTTAGTGAAAAGGATTTGATTCAAAACAAAATGTAATATAAGTATCAAAAATGCAAAAAAAAAAAAAAAAAAAAAAAATCATACGCCCAATTCATAATTTTCATATAAGCATACCGGCAATTTTTATAATTTACTTCAAATTATAGATTAAACTGGTTTTTTATCAAGCTAATACGGGTTAGCCGGTTGTTTTGATAAACCCGACCAGAAAAATATGAGCCATAAATAATTAAATAAAAAATTGGGTTCTTAGTTGGTCGAGTCTCTTCACCAAGTCACGTCCAACCGGGGATAACCCAAATTTTAAAACATTAGATATAAGACTCAATTACATATAAATAATATCCTTTTACAAAAAATCATAAGTTAAGTTTCTTAATTTGTTTTTGACGTGGAAAGTGCAAAGTTCATGTGATTTTAATTTCTTTAGGTATCTGGCTTATATAAAATAATTTTTATGTTCTTTTATTATATTTTTTAGTTTTTATTTTGTTAAAATTTATATTAATCTCTATATAATTATTAAATTAAAAAAAAAAAAACTTTGTTATTTAAAGACAAAAACAAAGATGCTTAAAAGCATTACCATGATGGCAAGTAGTTCGTTGGTTCCATGAGAGGGCCAACCCAACCTCCTCTTTATATAGGAAGCGTAACTTAGAGAGAACCAGAGTCTCCCTGTTTCCACTTCGACCCATACCCTTTCATTACACACATTCAAAACCCTAATCATTCCCTCTTTTTCTTCCATTTTACTTTCAGAATGCGCTTCCATTCCTCTTCTTCTTCTTCTTGATTTCATTCTCATTTTCATTTCCATTGATTGATATTATGGATGCAGTTTACACAAGCTACAGAGACAAATGCAATCCGTCGTTTTCCTCCTCTTTGCTCGACGAGATCTACCGCTCCATCGACGAAAGAGACGATGAAGAATCGACGTTTTTTAGAGAAAACATACGAAAAAAACAGAGCAAATTTGGTGGAAGTAAGTCAAGTAACAGTTGTTTTGAAAATCATGATGATGAACGACGAGCATGTTTGATTCAGAAATGGATGGCGGATAAAGTGTGCGAAAAACCGGTGGTTGGGAGAAGATCAACGGCGGATATCGAAAGAAGCTCGATGCGAAGTGAACGTGAATCAGTTTACTTTAATTCGAGCTCTAGCTCATGTGATTCGAGTTATGGTGGAGCTTTTTCTTCGTCGGAAGTCGACTCAATGAACGGAGTTCTATTTAAACCTAAACCCATCCGTACAAGCGGCTATCAACAAGAAGAAGATTCGCAACAAAAGGTTAAACACGAAGGTAAATTCGCGAAGACGAAATTAAAAGCATTGAAGATCTACGGTGATCTGAAGAAGGTGAAGCAGCCGGTTTCTCCGGGAGGTCGGTTAGCTACTTTTCTAAATTCACTCTTAACTACAGGAAACACGAAAAAACCAAAGACTTCCTCCGCCGCCGCCGTCTCCGGAGGATACGCGGAGGCGGCGAGGAGTCATTTAGACAGAAAATCAAAGTCGGCCAACGCGTCTACCTGTTCATCAGCATCTTCATTTTCACGTTCATGTTTAAGCAATACTCCATCGTCGAGGGGAAAGTTGAGCAACGGCATGACAAGGTCGGTGAGATTTTATCCGGTGAGCGTGATTGTCGACGAAGATTGTCAGCCATGTGGACACAAATCACTCCAGGAAGAAGAAACTCAATTCGCTAAAAATTCAATACCGAAAGAGCTTAAACTCAATTCGAGTGAAAACAACCGCCATATTCAAGAAGCTGCAAGGAATTTGTTGAAGGAGTACCAAAAGAAGGTCGAATGTAAATCAGATTCAATAAGAAGTAACGTAGACATGAAAGATGTCGAAGATGAAGATCAATCCGATGATGGCAAAAGTGACTCGAGCTCTGATCTCTTCGAGCTTGATAATTTCTACTCAATCGGGATGCACAAGTATCAAGAAGAATTGCCTGTATACGAGACGACTCATTTTGATACCAATCGAGCCATTGCTAATGGACACTTCATGCAATCATCATAAATCTAAAGAAAGAAACAGAAACAGAAACCTCATTTTGTTTTAATGTCGGTCTGGTTTATTAACAAGGTAGATATAGCTGCAATTGTGCACATTTGTGTTTGTTGTGATTGTATGTAGAGACTTATGAAAAATGACAACTTATTTCTGATTTCTTTTGCTGATTTCTTTTAGTTAAATTGTAATAAAGTTATTGTTGATTGAAAATTTTGATTTTAACATAATATTTTTTCTCTTGATTATATCATTATATTTATAATTTTGTTGAAATATCAATTAAACAGCCGATTCTCTCTATTTTCTAGGTAATCAATTTGCCCATAAGTTTAATATATATATATATATATATATATATATATATATATATATATATATATATATTTTTGCACAATGTTTATTTTTTCAATTATGTCTTATATTTATAAATTTGTTACAATGTAAACAAATTGACCGGTTACCATCAATCTAAAAGGTCATTATAATTTTGTTGCAATATCAATCAATTGACTGGTTACTAACCTATAACCTAACAACTTAACAATTGTATAACAAGTAAATGAACACCTCTAAAAGGATAATCAAAAGCAGCAACAGAGAAATTATAACCCTCATGAGAAACAAGAGATTGGAGTTGGGGTTTTCATTTGGACCTTCATGAGAAACAAGAGATTGGAGTTGGGGTTTTAATTTGGACCTTCATATATAGTTGGATCCACGGGGAGGTGATTGTTTTAAAAGTTAATTTCGTTGACCTTATCGTTGTATTATGAACTTGGAAATGCTTCATCATACCATTTGAAATGGCCATAGTCTTCTTTGTCGTCTAGAAAGTAACTGAACCAAAAATATCTTCGTGAATGATTTTTATTACTCGTATAATTTGCAAATCGAACATCTAAATTACTATAACATCTTCTGAAAGGGTGAGTACACCCTTTTCACAAACTTGTAAGTGAGTTTGAACAATTTGATCGACCTTCTGATGCTATTTGTAAAAAATACTTTTACCTAGATGGATAGTAATCGGTCAATTGGTTAACATTGCAACAAAATTGTAAATGTAATAACATAAATGAAAAAATACGGTGTCAAATTGAAATTTCCGATAAACTTAGTGACTTTATTGCAATTTGGACAAATTGGTTATCGGGAGAACACGAAGAATCGGTTATTTAGTTGATATTATAACAAAATTATAAATTTAATGACATAACTGGGAGAAAACAAACACGATGTCAAAATCCTTTGTTTTTATAAACTTAATGACTTTATTGCAATTTTCCATTTCTTTTATTTACAACCCATTTGAAAAATAACTTTTTAATGGATATATTTATTATTCATTCAAGTTATTTAATAAAAACTTGTCTTTAAAAAAAATGATGGATTGATGTGTGTGGAGTGCACTAGTTTATTCATACTAACTTAGACACAGAAACAAACACACGAAAGGCAGTGTACCTATCGATTAGCAGCTTAGTTCAGGTAAGTAGGGTATCGAACACAGGGAACGGTAAACAATTAAGATTATTACTAATATTATCTAAATAAAACAAGTAAAAAAGAAAGGTTTTTCTCTAGTTTTACAAGACTAGAAACTTAAGCAACTACTTAAACACTTAAACAAAGGACAATTAACAACTAAGGAGAAACAAAGGACAACTAGATTCAATCAATTTAAAGAGACTTCCGTTTAGATTCGATTCACTTATTCCTATGGTTGATTTCGTAGCAAGTGCAATGGATTAATATGTCATTGGCTACCGATTTCTAATGTGATTAGGTTCATGTTCACTATTACTAATCCTTAGCAAACAAGTTAATTCAAACAGTGATCAGTTGATTAAACAAACACGTTTCCTAGTGTTCAGTTCAGATCAAGTAAGACTTGTAATATTAGTTAACTAAATTTATCAATTCAGTCAACTCATGTATGGTTGTTCATCACACATTCTTACACATTAACTTACTTATTTTCTTGTTAATCCTAGTTTCATAATCACTAATACTAGGCATACAATATTGTTTTCACAAAAACCATATGATTCAAGCAATTAAGAAGATGTTCATGCAACTTAATAACTTGATTATTAACAGAAAATAATTATCACTAACACATAAGGGTCTTTAACAAGCTTAACAAGACAATTCACCAATTCCAATTAATCCAAGCCATAATATCAAACCATATTCATAAGTTTCTCTAGTCTAAACAAAAGTAAAGAGTTTTTAGCTCATATCTACAGCAAACAACAAACTAAAAACGAAATATAATGATTGAAACATGGTTCATGCAAAAGATTAAGATAAAAGTAATGTTTGTTTGCCTTTTATCTCTTCAAAATTGACTTCTAGGTTGAATTCTCGAAAACCATAGCTCTAAGAACCCTTCTGGCCTCCAAAAATCGTCCAAAACTTCCAGAATTAGTTAGGGTTTCGAATGAAAGCGTTTCTATATATAAATTCTGAAAACAGAGCCAACTCGATGGGTTTTTTGACCCAACTCGTCGAGTTGGTCATTAAAATCGCGTGTACGGCAAGTCAGCGTCAAGAATCGCGAATTTTTGATCAACTCGTCGAGTTGATGGCCAACTCATCGAGTCCGTTTGGAACCAGCATTTTCTCAAAACACGAAAGTCGTTTGAAATTGTGTCTAGTTTTCTGAAAATTTTGAATCAGGTTAATCGGAGTTATGGTTTATGAGATATGGCCAAAACACTGACAATGGGTCAAGCTGTCCAGCAACATCCTTCTTTCTTCAAAATCCAAGATCCAAGCTTTCAATTGCTAAATCCGCTTCCTTTTCCATCCGAGCATGTCATTGTTGCTGAAAAATGAAATTCTAAACTAATTAAGCATCTTTTGTTCATTAAATGAGATAAAATCAAAATAAAGTATTAAGATAATGCATGAATTTTATAACTAAATATGCCCATATCAAAATACCCCACACTTGACTTTTGCTTGCCCCCTAGCAAAACTGAATTTTAGCACACTAATACCATATAAGACAATCCCAGTCGAACCCAGCCATTATGCCAAGACCGCAACGCATGCATTTGTGTCTAAATTTTTCCTAAGGACCCCCTAATTCTAAATACTAACAATCCTCATAAACACTCGCCCATTTCTTTTGAACAACACTCATTTTATGCATCCCTCCGAATCCATCCCCATAAAACTTTCTTAACCTCAAGGAATATTTGGTTAAACAACCAAGCATACATAAATTCTAGAAAAATTACAACTTTGATACCACAATAGAGCTCTTTGAATTCTTCACTTATTTGATCTTTGATCTCTTTGAATTCACCACCTTCTTTGTTTGATTTTTGGTATCTTCAACTCTTGAATTTCTTTCGAATTTTGATCTTCATACTTTATACTTTGACTGCTCCAAAATTCTTTAACTTTTTGGTAATTTCTCTTTTTTTTTTCAACATGTACCTCACTTGTTTTTCACTCAAAACCTACATGCTTAAGCAAGGAGCTTAACTTCATCCTTTATTGGTTAAGGTATTAGTCTCATGTGCAATGACTACTTAAGTTTTCCTGGGTACATTTCTGATAAACGATGCTAAACTTGTTGCGTCCCTCAAACTAAGCGAGATTGTGTTTTTGTCCCATGTTTTCACTAGAATAAAGGGGGCCACAAATGCACTAGAACCTGTATAGGCTCTACTAAACATTTGGGTCTTCAAGGAATCATCAAACACAATACTAGCATGGAATCCTAATTGCTTTTACCATAATTTTTTGAATTAACCCTAGCAATTTTTATGCAAATTTTTAAAATTAAACCATAGATTCTAATGTAACTAATGTAACCAACCGCCTACCCCACACTTAATTTATGCAATGTCCCCATTGCATATTAAAACAATTAAAGAACATAAAAGTAAAGAGAGAATTGGAACAGACTCCCCTGGGATAGAAGTGGCGAGGTTGATCTTCTTCTTGTTAAGCTCCATCTTCAGTTAAATTTGGCATGGAAACAGCTCATCCATGCATTGGGTGTCAAAATCTCGTGTGGTTGACAACTCTAAATATACAGGAAAAAGCTTCTTGGAAAACTTCAAAAATATAGCCAATGCCCGCCTTGAATGGAATCAAATCAAAAACTTGAAAATAGAAGACTGAACAACTCGCCGAGTTATACGTGAAGACTCGTCAAGTTGGATCGTCACTTGGGCAGAAAATGAGAATATCTTATGGAACTTGTCGAGTTTAGGATATGCACTCGACGAGTTTTTGACTTTGATCATGTATTTTCTTCTTTCTGTCACAACTTTAATTTTGTGTTCAAGGAGAGTATCAAGGCAATACAACTCCTTATTTTCTTCAGTGACGAGACCATTATAAACAACGGACTCATAGCATCACTCAAATCTTCTCGTAAACGACTCGACCCCTCACTTTAATTTCGTCACTCTTGTAATTATTCACTCAATTCTCACCCTAAAATCTACAAGATCAAAAACACAGACCCACATAATAAAAAGGAAAACAAACATCAAAATTAAAATTCCTAAATTATCCCTAAATACTAGAAGAAAAAGGAAAAGAAAAGCACATTCTAACGACGGGTTGCCTCCCGTAAGCACTTCTTTTTGTGCGAGTCTTGAGCTGGACTCTGAACTTAATAAACTTCTAATAAACTCAATGCCCATCCATCTGTTGCATTGAATATCTTTTGTGGACCAATCCGTAAAATTTGGCTCTTTGCTTTTACAATTGGCCAACCGAGCTCGAATTCATAAAACCCAAAAATCTTGACAAGGTTTGGAACCGGTTGGATACTAATCATAAATGGATCGTGTCTCAGAACTTTCTCCAAAGTTGGAATCGTCACCCCATGCTTCGAAACACAAACTGGAAAAACAGGGGGCCACGTCGTGGTAATGGTCAATCCACGGCTTGGTTCCTGCAACTCAGCTTGTTCTTGTTCTTCGTCTAACCCCTCTGCCATCAATCTTTCCAGCTCCTCCAAGTCTCTTTCTGGA